ATCATCGCTCCGTGTGAAGCATTGCTAGTGAGAGTGGCACCAGTGTGTCCGCAGCGAGAATGTGCGGTCATCAGGCGACTCCCTTAGAACGACACACAGCACTGAATAAGTTGCATTGGCTTAGGCAAATGCTCAGTCAACGATTACCGATGGTTTTGTTTTGTTTGCTAGATGTAGGGAGACGCAAGGCTCGAGAAGTGCAGAAGTTAACCTGGCTGCGGAAAATGAAGCCACTGACCACAAAACTAGGTGCCGTTGGGCCGTCTCGTTTTCTAGGCTGGAATCCACAAGACCCGCTTTGTGCTTCGCTTGAGAGATTAAAAGACATGGCTCGCAGTCGGCGCCAGTGGCACGTCTGCTGTCATCACCTAGTCGGACTGCTTGTTTAAAGTATGTTTGGTTCTGTGTTGTCTGTGGGTTAATGACTGGTTATGACGCTGCGCAGCGAAAGCCGGAAGGAAGCTGTCTCACCGACGCCGCCTTATCTTCTCACAATAGCTAGCTGTTTGTGATGTCATGTTGTTGACAAGGTGTAGGCGCCTTGACACTGAATGTTTGCTTAGGGTATTAAGGTTTTACGCAAAGTGCCCCATTTCATCCATTTAGTATTCTTCGTGCCGTGGGTCACCGTGGTTGAACGGTAGCGAAGCAGCAGTTCAAATGGTCGATAGACTGCTGTCGATGATGATCATCATCCAAGAAGCGCTAAGATGAGCACGATTGTGCAGACTTTTGCAAACTGGTCAAACACCGACGCGGGGCTCGGAGAGCTGGCAAAGACATGTCCACGATTCGCTTGTCGGCAAGTCGACCAGAAGAGCAGAAGTATTTTCCTGGCAGATTAGCTAAGAAGCTCCAGGATTGACGTTGTGTCGGACTCTTCGAGGACAGGTCAATCCCCAGAGTAAGGCGGAAAAAGGAGGGTACGCGAAAGTTGAAGTTCATTCGACAAAAGTCCAAGTTCACGAACACTGTTGTTCCGGGTTAAGTTTTCGTTAACCTTGAAATGCTCATTAAAAACTGTAGAACCCACCGATTTAGCAGCTGGCACCGGATCGAATAAATTAGATAACACCTTACCTGGCGATAACTGAGAGGTCACCGAAGGACAGTGGGTTGTTAAGACATGCGCCATGCGTGGGCACCAGTAGAATCGATCCGAATTCTCATGCCTATTTAAAGGTAAATAAAGAAGCACATAACGGGTCTCACACTTAAGGACAAACTCTCGAGGGCCCTACACTAGGAAGTCTAGTGCACGACCATTAGTTCTTTTTGCCACTAGGCTTCTGACACCGTTTCAGCGCTTCCTGGCCCTCAGAATCGCCCCGTGTCTACACTCACATACCAAACGCGTGCAAAGATCTGGGCTCGTGAGCCTTGAGGCACATCTGCAAGTCAGAGTGCAAGAACCGCCATGCTATGCATAGGCGCAAGTAACACAATGCATCCGCCTCAAATATCTTATTGGTCAATGGCTACTCAACAAGCGTGTGCGAAAATACTAACGGGTCCAATTTGAAAGAGTTCAGGCTATCTTGATAGTATTACGGGGAAATCTAATTAAGGAACGACATGGGAGACGTATGAGGAAAGAGAAAAACTGGAAGTGCATTCATCAAAAGCGAGGAGCAGACGAGTTTAAGGTAGACTATAAATGAGGTTCGATGAAATAAAAGGAATGACTATAAATGTTCGTGGACATGATTACCTCCAAGGCTGAGATCTCAACATAGGTTAAGCCTAGCTAAATAATTTAGTATACTACAGCATGGGAAGTAAATTTATGTCTAATAAACCTTCACTACCATACATACAGAAATACAAAAAAATGATTTAAAAAACACATGTACATCAGTTAAGCGAATAAGTGAATACATGGGCACAGTCTAAACAATATGTACCCGCTTTTTCCCCAAGGATGAGCTCGAGAAAAACTCATCCACTGACACTTTCTTGCGGCTGACATCTGGCTTCGATCCACCAAACGCGTTAAAGTAGTTGTGTAATGTATTCCCAGTTTTTTTCTTTGCAGCATTTTCTTTGTCGCATGCCTTTCGAAGCGATTCAACAATGCTAAGCTGAACCTTATCGCCTTCTTTTAAGCTATCTTCGTCTAAAGCTAACAACTCAAAGAATAAGAGTTACTTGAATGATCCGTGTCCTTCTTTGATCTTTTCTTTCGCTTTACCATAGGGGTTCCGGTATCCACATGCCGGAACTCACTGTCTTTTATTTTGCATATTCAGTAGAAAGCGCATGTCATACCTGAATCTGACTCACTGAACATAACGATACGTTTCATTGTACGATGGCTTCAATATATCAGATGGTTAACCTCGGATATCGGAAATATCCACAGGATGATGGGGTAGAGAGCAACTGCAAGATGATGTAAAAATGGAAAAACGTAGACGTTTTGATGTGTAACAGATTCATACAAAGTCAGCATTTGTATATATCGGGTTGTCCCATAATTTCTTTCGCACATGGTTTTTTCTCAGATTGTTAGAGAATGTTTTAGAAGCTTTGGCCGGAAAGTATAAAAGGGCACGCACGCCGCGGGTTAATTAACTGAGAATCAAAATGGATCAGTGCCAGTTACGTTCGGTTATGCTTTATGAATATAAGGTGGAGACCAGTGTAAGGAAGTCGGTCGAGAAGATCAACAATGCGTTTGGGACAGGCATTACTACCGATCGAACTGTGAGCCACTGGTTCAAGCGCTTCGAGGAAAGCGATACAAGCTGTGGTCAACCACATTCTGACCGGTCAGGCACCTTTAACGAAGACACCTTGTGCCACAAGCTGGAAGTGCATGCGGATGCTAGTACCACGGATTTGGAGCAGACAAGTAGATACGGCCGTAGCACCATCGCTCGCCATCTAGATGAAATGGGCTACCGCAAAGTGATGTCGCGATGGACACCTCATGCACCACGACTGCGCTGCACGCGTGACCATCTGTGAGTCTCCTGCTGCGGCCGCACAGGTAGAACTTTCTCAATTCGGTCATCACTGGAGATGAGTCCTGGGTCTAATACGAGAACAGAACGCGACACGCCTACTGGCTGTGTCGCGGCGAAGACCCGCCAGCTCAGTCAAAGCCTGAGTTCCATGCTCCGAAAATTATGCTCTCGGTTTTATGAGATTGGCAGGGTGTGCTGTCTTGAGAACTGCTCGACAACAAGCAGACAAGCAATGCCGTCTACGGAGAGCAACTCCGAAAGTTGGCCGCAGCAGTGTGAGAGAAGCGTCCGAAACGACAGCGTCGCCCTTTTCCAGGATAACGCTCGACCTCACACTGCAAAATCGACACGCCACATTTTGGAGAAACTGGACTAGACCACGACACCACATTCACAGTATAGCCCTGACTGCTCCAGCGGATTAGCATCTCTTCCATGCCCTGAAGCAGCATCTGCGAGAGAAAAAACTGAAGATTACAACCAGCTTAAAAGTGTCCTCGCCGACTTCTTTGATCGCTAGTCTTATTATTTCTGAGAGGAAGGCATCCAACCTTTGTCCAGTATATGGTTACACACCATTGATCAGGATGGGGTCATATTATTGATTTATTGATTTAGTTAAATAGTTAATTGAAAAAACAAAAGTGTCGAAATGCGAAAGGAATTATGGGACAACCGAATAGAAGAATATCACATCAAGAAGACCTAAAAACATGTGCGTAGTAATAACGCAAGGATGTGAAAGTGTGATAGGCGGCCAGAGGTAAATGCAGTGGATAGAACGGAATCCGACTCAAGATCGAAGAATGCCTGTAATGAAACTGCTGCAAAGCTAATTAAAAAAATCCACGGGAAAAGAACAAAAACCCTGTCCGCACAGATGAACGGCCAGCCGTATTTTTGGTCACTCGCAAAGGCAGAAAGAAAAAGCGTAATATGTATAGATATGCTGGTGAGTGATATGGTGCATCATCAACACTGCTAGTCTTTATTCATAAGTCTGCTTTTTAATAACATCGTACTTTCAGTCAGCGTGAGCGACCGATAGACTGCCGTTGAGTGACCTTTTGTGTGCCCGTGGCCGTTCTTGTGAGACACATTGGAGAGGAATTCCCTTAAAAAGGAAAACGTTCGGTTGAGCCTTACAGCTTTAGGATTGCGCAATTACGATGTTGGAATAGATTTCCGCTTATTATTGACGGTATTTGCAACTAAGAAAAATGCATTCAAGGTATATGCCAATAATAATAATAATAATAATAATGTGTCAGCTGTACGCCGTAACGACGTTTCGTTGCCGTGCGACCATCACCAGTCGCACGCAGGCTGAGTATACCGCGAGGATGTCCACCCTTAAGCAGATTCGAACACGCACCGCAAGGTTACTAGACAAGCTCGTTACTCCTAGGCTACGAGCCAAGATGTACTGGAAAACAGTTTCTGTGACCAAAGTTCTTTCCAAATGTGCCACACCGGGAAGCCCAGGGGCGTAAAAACGGTCACTCCAGTGGAAATTTTTCGGTCACTCGAGCTATGCGGGAAGCAACAAATGGCCGCCATGGTAGCAATTTGTAACAAAGCCGCACTGTCGTGCACAGTTAAAGCAGCTCGCTCACGTAATCCTTTAAAGCTCGCTTCCATGCTCGTAACTTAAGCAAGAGCTGAGGCAAGCGAGGCTTGAAGCCCATTGGTCAGGAGCCAGATAATCGAAGTGTATTTACGTTGCGAACAGCCAATGATGGCATTTTTGGCTTGGAATCAAGTAACGACCTTTGGTAGTTTCTGGTAGAACGGAGCCATCTTCCAGGATATTCCTGCTGAGGAGGTTAGTTTCTTAGATTTGACTTACACGCAATCGCATGTCGTTCCTGTCCCCTCGACAAGTCCATGTTCAACCAGGCGGGCAACCTTAGTTCTACCTGAAGTCCTTGATACTTTCTGCGATTAGCATGTACTCGCGGCGCACTCTGCAGCGGAGCAGTCAACAGACAGCAGTTATCAGAACATTAGGGCGTTTGTCGATCGATATCTGCTGCTTATCAAAAATCTGGCCGCAGGACGGGCTTCGCATTCACTCTACGATTACATACATGTGACACTGAAAGTACTTTCTTACAATATCTTTCCGGATATAATGCAGCTTCAAATGTCGGTCATATCAACGCTTGTGTTGTTCCGAGACTCGATGCAGATGGACCTATTGATTGGATTCCAGTCAGTGTCCGGATATGTACCGTTAGACTGCTGCACTCGTTCAAAACTACAAAGCCGAGCGAATACAAGGGGACAAAACATTTGCTATTACAAACTGAAGGAGCTCCTCCGTTACGGAAGAGGCACAGATGTTGTCGTGCTGCCTGGTGATCCGAACGCACAAGCTGGATAGCATTCAAATGGCGAGCTTCATCTGTGTGGCCAACAGGGCACAGGCTATCGTAATGATAACAGTGAGCCACTGAATTACTTGTGGGGATACTCGGCAATTTCTCGAGAACACTTACCCACAACAAAGCACCTACTACAGGACGTTCACTGGCGTCCGATCACAACAGTTGTCGTTGGCGAGGCTGCATTCAAAAATGCCGCTCGCTTTGGGACACGAGTGTGGACTCTGACCATGCACATGAAGGTGTTAACTTCAAAGTGAATTCAGTAAATGAGCGTATTCTCCTCAGCTGTTTACATACAATGAGTGGAAAACAGTGCGATGTTAACAGCAAAA